TACAGTCTCAGTCTCTGTCCTTTCTGTTATCAACCAATGTCGCATGATGATCATGGCAAAAACAAGGAGAAGTCACTGAAAGCAATATACTGTCTATTATAAGCTGCATGTTATCAAAGCTGCAGAGAGCCTTGTGATGCCTTCCAACACTATTTGCCCACTCACGGTAAGAGAGCCAGAAAAGATTAAAATAAAGCAAAAATTATCCTTTGATTGGATTGATTTGCTCGTGTGTGGTCACCTGGACAGGAAAGTGGAGGAAAAACAGATGCCAATAAAACTGTATTTTTGGTAGTATGGGAAAAGCCAGAATGTCTAACAGTGATCAATTGCTGACAATGTTCCCTGAGTTTACCCCTCATTTCCTATGTGTTCACTAGAACAGGAAATCGGAGGAGATCTCCCCATCTTTTAAGATCTTTTTCCCACTCTAACAGAAAAAAATAAAGTTCCACTTTAACACAAAATTGTAAAAGTTGTGCTTGGACTCTTTTTCATCCTGGTGCTCCATTCTTCTAAGCTGAACCTCCCCATTGCTAATATATTGATGTAGCAAAATTCAAAGGTGGGGGTGGAACATACACTTTGCGTTCCCTGGTTCTTCCCTTCCCCAAATATGCTAATGAAAAATTAACTAAAACCTAATTTATAATAATAAAATTAGAAAAATAATTTATATTTTCATGACATCGCTTGGTCACTTGATCTTTTTACTTCTCTATGCAATGCAGGCAGATCGTAGCTGGTGGAAGGGTCCGGAAGGGTGAAATATATACTCTCACCGTCCACTTTATTAAGTACACATTGCTAGTGCCAAGAAGATATCCCCACAAAATTACACCACCAGCCTGAACCATTGATACAAGGCAGGATGGATCTTCCACACCATGACATCTTCCACACCACCACCACCATCACCACCACCTGACACCACCAACCATTGATACAAGGCAGGATGATCCTCCACACCATGACCACCACCACCAGCCTCCAAGGCAGGATGGATCCTCCACACCATGACACCACCACCACCAGCCTGAACCAAGGCAGGATGGATCCATGCTTTCATGTTGTTTACACCAAATTCTGACCCCACCATCTGAATGTCGCAGTAACCAGTCTGCCCATTCTCCTCTGACATCAACAAGGTATTTTCCTCCACACAACTGCCGCTCACTGGGTATTTTCTCTTTTTCGGACCATTCTATGTAAACACTAGAGATGGTTAAGCGTGAAAATCCCAGTAGATCAGCAGTTTTTTAAATACTCAGACCAGCTCGTCTGGCACCAACAACCATGCCATGTTCAATGTCACATAAATCCCCTTTCTTCCCCATTTTGATGCTCGGTTTGAACTTCAGGAAGTCGTCTTCACCATGTCTAGATGCCTAAATGAACTGAGTTGCTGCCATGTGATTGGTTGATTAGCCATTTGTGTTACCAAGCAATTGAGCAGGTGAACCTAATAAAGTGTCCGGTGAGTGTAGGTTCCTAAAATCATCACAGCACCCTGCCTCAGTAGTCCTCTTAGGCAAGCCAAACACAGAGCGAATTTTTTTCCTGCAGTCACAGTGTTGACAGGGGAATCCTTCTCACCAAGCTATTGTATTCTCCTGGCGGTGGGGTGGGGGAAGCCATCCTTGCCAGGAGAAGACAGTGAATATTGCTGGTGGCTGTATGAGCAATAATCGTAGGTAAAATACAGCAGGCTGGTTGTACCCAAGTTGACCGGTCATTCAATTTTGGTACATTCAGCCTGCATGGTTCGAAACTCAGCTGGTTGCTGCTGGACCGGCAGAGATTCAAATCATCTATGACCAGCATTCAGATCCATCAGCTCGACAGTGGGCTGCCTCTTGGAAGGAGAAAAGAAAATATCAAAATGCTTTGTTTGGGTATCTGGAGGAATGAGCTTTCCTATGCATATAGCCAGTGATAACACCCACACCTAAGCCTCCATGACTGATGAGCCAGTAAATGGTCTCTATTTGACTTGCTGCAGCTTTTAATGCACATTGTGAGAAGCTCACAGTGTGCAGGGAAGTCAAACTAAGAAATTTCAGTAGAGGAGAGGAGAAAGGGAAATGTTCAGATTTAAATGTAATTGTTTTTTTTTTTTACTCTTTTGTCTTTTCTGGCGCAGAGAAATCATTTCATAGAGTTCCCGTTCTATTAAACCATCTCCTTCATCGATGTCCAGCCATCTGCCACATGGGAAGGTCTGTTCGATGCCGGTAAAAGGGCAGTAGACCACCACCTGAGTGAGAAAACAGAACAGTTATATGGAGGCTGTGCCAGGTTTACAACTGGGCATTCTAGCTGTGTACTTTGTACTGATGCATAGAGGTCCCTAAACGAAGAAAACTGGTCAAAGGAAGAGCCACATGGAAGGCAACATAAAGTCAATATACCCCAAAAAAAGTATCAGTCAATAAATGCATAACGAAACAAGGGTTCCAAAATGTAACATAAATTAGCCAGCTTGAACATGTATTGTAATTACATAGTTACACAGTGAGTTTGGCTTAAAAAAGACAAAAGTCCATCCAGTTCAACCATAGAAAAAAAAAAGTTATAATCCTACACCCACCATGGGTCCAGAGGAAGGCAGAAAAAAACAGCAAAGCATGATGCAATTTGCTCCTGCAGGGAAAAAATTCCTTCCTGATCCCCAAGAGGCAATCGGATATTCCCTGGATCAACTTTACCTATAAATGTTAGTATCCAGTTATATTCTGTGTATCCAAGGAACAATCCAGGACTTTCCTACAGCAATCCACTGAGCTGACCAGAACCAACTCTTGAGGGAGTCTATTCCACATTTTCACAGCTCTTACTGTAAAGAAACCTTTCCGTGTTTGGCGATTAAATCTCTTTTCCTCCAGATGAGCGCCCCCTTGTCCTCTGTGATGACCTCAGGGTGAATAGCTCTACACCAAGTTCACTATATGAACCACTGATGTATTTATACATGGAGATCATATCCCCCCTTATGTATTATACATGAAGATTGTATCCCCCCTTATGTATTATACATGGAGATCATATCCCCCCTTATGTATTATACATGGAGATCATATCCCCCCTTATGTATTATACATGGAGATCATATCCCCCCTTATGTATTATACATGGAGATCATATCCCCCCTTATGTATTATACATGGAGATCATATCCCCCCCTTATGTATTATACATGGAGATCATATCCCCCCTTATGTATTATACATGGAGGGATCATATCCCCCCTTATGTATTATACATGGTGATCATAGCCCCCCCCCCTTATGTATTATACATGGAGATTATATCCCCCCTTATGTAGTATACATGGAGATCATATCCCCCCTTATGTATTATACATGGTGATCATAGCCCCCCTTATGTATTATACATGGAGATCATATCCCCCCTTATGTAGTATACATGGTGATCATATACCTCCCCCCTTATGTATTATACATGGAGATCATATCCCCCTTATGTATTATACATGGAGATCATATCCCCCCTTATGTATTATACATGGAGATCATATCCCCCTTATGTATTATACATGGAGATCATATCCCCCCCTTATGTATTATACATGGAGATCATATCCCCCCTTATGTATTATACATGGTGATCATATCCCCCCTTATGTATTATACATGGTGATCATATCCCCCCCCCCTTATGTATTATACATGGAGATCATATCCCCCCTTAATCTCCTCTTCTCAAGAGAGAATACATTCAGTTCCTCTAATCTTTCCTCATAGCTGAGCTCCTCCATGCCTCGTATCAATTTGGTTGCCCTTCTCTGTACTTTCTCCGGTTCCTCAATTTTTTTCTTACTAATGATTTGTACCGGAGGAAATGATATCCTCCTCTCTGGAGTCTATACCTCTTTTAATACAAGAGAATTACTCCTGTGTTACTGTGATAACAGGCTACATGTGTTATTTCAGAGGGCGCATTTCCTTATTTTTGCTGCCTGCATTTTTTATTTTAACGGGGCTTTTTAATGGCTACAACAGTGAAAACTGCCTGAGGAGAGTGCATAAGAAACCTATAGTTTCGTTTGGGAGGGGATGTGGCAAGGTGCTTACAGGCAGGAGGCTGAAGGAGATAAGGCGCAGAGCATTGCTACCCCATAACACAAAGTGCTCAACAAGGACCTGTTTTCAGTATTACTAGATTATATTTTGATAAAAATCAACCGTCAAACTAAAAATAGGCTTTCTTTGTGATATTATCCTTCAAAAGATTCTATGATATATATATATATATATATATATATATATATATATATATATAAGCTAACTAGATTTGAGCACATATTTTTTTAGGTCTTAGGCTACTTTCACATTGATCCACCGCAAAAATACAGCAAAAATCCATAGCTGTTTTTTAACAGCTTACGCGCCGCCATATTGCAGATATACTGCTACATGACGGCACGAGTGTACAAAATCATGTATATATATGTGATTTTGCATTTCCAAATTGGGGGCACGTGCGAGCCGCGCGTGCGCCATACCTGAGCTGCCATTTGCGGCCGTGGATGTCAATCACCGTGTCCCGGCCCATGATTACCTGCCGGCGCCCAATGATTACCCACAATCACCTGTCAGCTCGAGCACACTGCTCAGGATGTCTGTGTGCAGTACAGCCATCCCGATCAGTGTGCTTACAGTGAAGCACACAACCCCCACCCCCATAGTAAAACACTCCCTAAACAGAGTTAACCCTTTGATCGCCCCTCACATTAACCACTTCCTGCCTAGTGTTATTAGTACAGTGTCAGTGCTGTTTTTTAGCACTGATCACTCTATTGGTGTCACTGGGGATGTCAGTGACACCAAGTTAGTACCCCCCCCCCCCCCCAATGTCAGAGTGCCTGCCGCATTCCCGCTAAAAGTCGCTGATTGCCGCCATTACTAGTAGGAAAAAAAAAAATCCCAGTATCTATACCGCTATTTATAAACGCCATAACTTTCACGTAAACCAATTAATTTACACGTATTGAGTTTTTTTACATTTTAGCCTAAATGTATGACAAAATTTGTTTTGGATTTTTTTTTACTGGACATGTTTAATAGCAAGAAGTCCAAAATATTGTTTTTTTTCTCAAAATTGCTTATAGCGCAAACAATAAAAAACGCACAGGCAATCAAATACCACCAAAAGAAAGCTCAATTCGTGAGAAAAAAAGGACATAAATTTCATCTGGGTGCGGCGTTGCATGACCGCGCAATTGTCAGTTAAAGTTATGGTGCGCCGTAGCGCAAAAAATGGCCTGGTCAGGAAGGGGGGTAAATCCTCTGGAGGGTGAGGGGTTAAAGAACACATGACTGCACCAAAAACTCTTCTCAGAGGTGTTTTTCAGGCATTTTCAATTGATTTCAATGGGAAGAGGCTTTTTTTTAACTCACCAAACATGCCCCAAAGATGCTGCAAGCAGGAGTTTCTACACCGCACCGCAAGCGCGACGCCTCAGTGCAGGGGGGGACTGACAACTCATGGGGCCCCCGGGCAATAGGGGATCATGGGGCCCCTGTGTCCTTGTCCAAACTTAAAAAGCCTATGAAAAAAGTACCAGGGGCATCTCTTGGGGCCCCCTACTGACCCCGGGCCCTCAATAGGGGATCATGGGGCCCCTGTGTCCTTGCCCAAACTCAAAAAAGCCTATGAAAAAGGTACCAGGGGCATCTCATGGGGCCCCCTACTGGCCCCGGGCCCTCGGGCAGTGCCCAAGTTTCCAAATGGTCAGTCCGCCCCTGCCTCAGTGTGAAAACATACATAGATATACATTCACATACATAGGGAAGCATTTTTCGGGAACCTTTTTTAAACGCAAAAAGGCTTTAAAATCTCCTGAGTGTGAAAGTCGCCTTACTGCAGCATGTATTATAAGGAAAATTAATAAAACATTAGGAGGGACCTTCCTCATGCCTCAGTTAACTGTCTAGCCAAAAGCTAGCCATACACAGAGCAATGTTTCCTTCAATTTCAACCACTTTCAATCTACTGCAATTACAAACACAAGCAATCAACAGAAAGAAATGAAGCACAATACCACCCAGATTTCGATCAATAAATGTGGTAAAAGATAGAAATGGTTGATCCAGGGAATATCCGACTGCCTCTCGGGCAAGGGTGGACTGACAACTCATGGGGCCCCCGGGCAATAAGGAATCATGGGGGCCCTGTGTCCTTGCCCACACTCAAAGCACACCCAAAAAAGCCTACAAAAGGTACCAGGGGCATTTCATGGAGCCCCCTACTGACCCCGGGCCCTCGGGCAGTGCCCGAGTGCTTGATGGTCAGTCCGCCCCTGCCTCGAGGGATCAGGAAGGTTTTTTTTTCCCCTGAAGGAACAAATTGGATCGTGCTTTGCTGGGTTATTTTGCCTTCCTCTGGATCAACTGTGGGTGTAGGATTATAACTTTTTTTTTTTTTTTTTTTTTTTTTTTTAATGGTTGAACTGGATGGACTTTTGTCTTTTTTCAGCCAGACTAAAGGTGGGAATAGGTTAGAAAATCGACCAATCGGTCATCCGACGACCAAGAGGCATTCGTTCATTGGTCGAAATCGTGGTCCACATTAACCAATCTAAAAAAATAGTTCGTCGAGCAATACGTAGTGTTGACGTCTTATTTATTTATTTCAGATACTTATATAGCGCTGTCAATTTACGCAGCACTTTACATATATATTGTACATTCACATCAGTCCCTAACCCTCAAGGGGTGTACAATCTAAGGTCCCTAACTACATTCATACATACACATACTAGGGACAATTTAGACAGGGTCCAATTAACCTCCCAGCATGTCTTCCGTACAAGTGGAAGTGATGCGGTGTGCGTATGACCTTGTAGCCACTCCCTTCCGGCCAGAACGATCGATATATACACAACAATGACCAGCAATGAGTATAATATCGTTTATTATATGACCTATATACATAAATAGTGATACATAAAATATAATCTGCACAATTCTGGCTTCATGATCTCATTGGACCAATCTACTTTTAACATTTGGATTTTTTGTTCGTGTTTATAAAGATTCCTCGGACATAAACATCTGGGTCATTTTCTATTTCTGCTCATGCGTGATAGCGCTTGATAGATTTTTTTCGTACGACTGTCATACCACCGCATAGAAAATCGGTTGTTCGCATGCAAAACGACAACATTTTTCACTGTTGTTCAACCGGATTTTTTTTTCATCCGCAATATCATTATCGGTTAAAACATCCCACTCATCAACGAAGAGAAAAATCGTTCGATCAGCGGTTCCACGAAATTTTTCGTACGATTTTCTTATCGTGTGTACGGGGCATAACTATGTAACTATGTAAATGGACAATATATATTACTACAGATTACTCAAAGATCAAATTGAAACGGGAAAAAAATGACAGCAATTTTATCCAAAGTGGTCTGGGTGCCATAGATTGTGGCAATTTGTGATCCAAATATATTCAGTACATGTCTGCAATCTATGTACGTTCCCCATGTTTTGTCTCTTTAAAAATCCTGCAAGTACAGAAATATACAGTGAAGGGGCACACTGGGTTCTTGGAGTTCAATAGGTATTTTTGTGTACTTGAAGGGTTGTTAGAGACATAAAACATGGCGGATATTGCAGAGATGTGGTAGACATGTTTTGTTGTTAATTTGCCCTGACATATACATTAACCACTTCCCGTCCGGTCCATGTATATAAACGGCCGGACCAGGGGCGGAGTGACAACTCATGGGGCTCCCGGGCAATAGGGGATCATGGGGCCCCTGTTTCCTTGCCCAAACTCAAAAAAGCCTATGAAAAAGGTACCAGGGGCATCTCATGGGGCCCCCTACTGACCCCAGGCCCACGGGCAGTGCCCGAGTTTCCAAATGGTCAGTCCGCCCCTGGGCCAGAGGGTGGCAGTGCAGGGGAGGGTTGTCATTCATAGACGGCGCCCACCATTATGGACTGTGTGCACTCCCTGGGAGCGCACGGCACCACGATCGCTGTATAGGACTTCTGTGTGAGGTCCCAATCATGTGATCACTGATTGGCCAATCAGTGATCACATGAATAGGAGTAAGCAAGATGTCACTTCTGACATCATTGCTTACTACGTGTGAAATCTGTGAATGATCACAGAGGTCACATGGTACAGGGCTATTCACAACAGCCTTGTACCATGTGACAAGCTGTGACCAATAACAGCTCACACAGTATTTCTCAATGGCTGCAAGAATACAGCCAGAGAGAAGGAGAAATGATTGCTTTTACAGCCTTTATGGGTGTAAAAGCAATCAGTGTAAAAAAAAAATCGTCATCACCCCCCACAAGCTATGGTGACATTGTACTGCTAGGGTGACAGTATGTTAAAAAAAAACATAAATAATAATTTAAAAAAAAATTTAAAAAAAAAATTAAACAAAAATGTAACAAAAAAGTTTGAAAAATTATAATTTTTGGTTATAAACTAATTTGGGTTATTTTTTTTACTTTGCAAAATTTTATAATAAAAACACTTTTTTTCAAAATTTTTAGACATTTTCATTTACATAGCAAAAAAAATAAAAATCCCAGTGGTGAATAAATACCAACAAAATAAAGTTTTATTTGTCTCAAGCAAATGCTAAAAGATTCATATGGGTACAGTGTTGCATGACCGCACAATTGTCATTCAAAGTGTGATAGCGCTGAAAGCTGAAAATTGGCCTGGACAGGAAGGGGGTAAAAGTGTCCAGTCTGGAAATTTTTTATTGAAATAAAATCTTGCAACCAGCTTTCATTTATACAAAAATACAAAAAATAAATAAATACATACAGTATTCAATAAATACATAAACAAAAACAAAAGGATACATCTCCCTAAAGATATATACTTTCCACTGAATAATAACAGCCTTTATGGAAACTGGGCAGGTAAGAAGCAGAAAAAAAGTAAAAAAACATCACCAAGACCCTTATGGCCCACTTATCAAGTGGTATCCTCCCCTTGTCTGCAACTTCCACTAAACAACAAAAGCCTTTATGGCTTTAAAAAACACTACTTGTTACTCAACCAAAGCTAAGAAACCCAGACCTTCAGGTGCAATAGCCTTTCTTCAAAAAGACTTCTTACCAAAATCTAGGGGAGTGAATGAAGAGGAAAAACAGGAAAGCAACCTCACCAAGAGATCAACAGATTGCAGCTACAGGCCTGTTCCTCCACGCCTCTATCCAGGCCTTTCGCCGCAACGTGTCTTTCTCTAGACCCCGAATTTCCCAACCTCACCAAGGATGTCACACTTGAACAGGAAGGACCTTCTGCCGAATGAAAACCTGACACCGTGCATTCAAGTGTCCGGTCTGGATTACCACAAAAGGTTCCAAGAAAACGATGGGAATTTGAGAGATAGAGCACAGTGGTTTTCTGACCCTTTGTCGTTTACTGACACCTCCAAAGGGGCTCATTGGAGGGAGAAAAATATTGGTGGCTATGACGTGGCTTTGACTCACTCACTTGCTTCAGCTTGAGCTATTCAGTTTTATCAACTAAAAGCTCTTCAATTATCTGAGTACTAGCCTGTGTACACCCTTCATTACCAGGACATAGTTTTCAGTGCTGTGGTGTTAATATTATTAAATAAATACTTTTTTTTTATTTCTTTACTTGAAACAATCCCACAATCATTGGTTGTTAGTGGCACTTTAACCTCCCCAACCCCTCCCCCCCAAAAAAGTCAATCATGCAGTCATTGGTGGTCAGTGGCAATTTAATCACCCTTTTCCACCCACACCAAGAAACAATCCCACCATAATTGGTGGTCAGTGACAGTTTACTACTCCTACCCCTACCAAACAAAATCCTGCAATTACTGGTGATCAGTGGCACTATTATTATTATACAGGATTTATATAGCGCCAACAGTTTGCTCAGCGCTTTACAATATAACGAGAGACAATACAGCAACAATACAGTTCAATACAAGAGGGAAAGGAGGGCCCTGATCCATGGAGCTTGCAATCTAAGAGGGAGGGGCTGGTGGTACAAAAGGTAATAACTGTGGGGGATGGACTGGTAGGAGGAATAGAAGATTCCATTATTAGCTGAGGGCAGGATAGGCTTCCCTGAAGAGATAGGTCTTCAGAGATCGCCTAAAAGTGAGCCAGAGAGGCGATAGTCTGATAAATTGGGGTAGAGAGTTCCAGAGGATGGGGGGGAAGCTCTGCAGAAGTCCTGGAGACGAGCACGGGAGGGAGGAGACAAGGGAGCTAGAGAGTAGGAGGTCGTGCGAGAAGCAGAGAGGACAGTTTGGGTGATATTTGGAGACAAGATTGTAATAAGTAATAAGAACCCCAAACCCCACTCCGCCCACCTTCACTTTTGATGATCCTCCTTCCTGCTGTGTTTACAAATTTTCAGCCCATCCACAAAGTAGAAAGGGTTGCTTCCTCCATTGTGAATGGGCTGAGTGTCTATAAACACTAGTAGTACAAACAAGGTACAGAGCTACTCTAGCTGGCTCTGTACAATTTGACTGTAATATAGCTTTCCATAGACAAATACAGACCCACCTTCCTGCCACAAAAGTGGTTGTAATACAAAAAAGGTAAAAATCTTCATCTGCCTCATATGCTATCATTCATATTAAAAAAAGGAAAAATATAAACAAAACCACAATAAAGTCCCTTTTAAAAACACCGCCAATAATATGAAAGAAGCAGTATTTATAGAAAATAATGACGTAATATGACGACATTGTCTGCTGACCTTCTCGCAGTACCATCCAGCGCCAACACCATTCCCATCATGCCCGATGGTCACCCGGCTGAGGGGGCTGAGTAAAGCAGCAATCTCAATGTTGAAGACGTCGATCTTCCGCCGTTCAAACTCTCCACCCTCCAGGAAGATCTTGCCGCTGTTTTTTAACCCCTTGGATCCATGAAGAATGATGTGGACCTTAGAGTCTGTCCCAGCTCCTCGGATGTCTCCAGTCATTACAGAGACATTGTAGACAATGCCTGGGGATTGAAAAATATTGAATTAGACTACTTATGATGAGACAATGAGCAGGCAGGGGGTAACCAAACTGTTCTGCTACTGTTGTGGAGTTCCAGGACCCAACCATGCTGTCTGGAAGGGATGTCTGGATCACAAAACTGACTGAACAGAATTACAAATCCTTTGGTGATGTAACACTTAAAACGGAGCTCCACCCAAAAGGGGACATTCCGCTGTAAGCTTTGGTCCCCCGCTCCCCATTAAGGATTGGCACCTTTGGGGGAGGGGGAGTGTACCCCAATTTGACAGGTACCTGCTCCCACTTCACTATATATATATATACACTGCATGTTGAAATGCATTTTTTATATATTACAAAATATATGAAAAATATTTTTTTTATTTTTTTTTTAAATATATTCTTCAGATTTTTTTTAAGATATAAAAAAGTAATTTTAACATATATTTTTACACATATTTGTAAATGCATTCCAAAAATGTAGATTTGTATATTTAAAGACATACAGTATTATTATTATTATTATACAGTATTTATATAGCGCCAGAAAGGTTTGCTCAGCGCTTTACATTAAAGAAGATACAGTATATCTGAAATATATTTTTAATATATTTTGTAATAAAAATGCATTTCACCACACAGTATCTATATACATATGTTGAAATATATTTTGAAATATATTGAATACGGCTAAAATTGTAGTATTTCAAATATATGTCAATATATTTGGGAAGATTATTTTATAAAATATATTTCAAATATATTTTTCGGCCATATGGGTAATATGGTATTTTCCGCATTCAAACATTGAGACTGTGGAGAATATGACCTGAGAACATTTTGATTTTTTACATTATTCGCACAGAACAAATTTTCATGTCATTTTGATACACAAACAGTTATACAATTTTTTTTTATACCCCTCAGTATTTCCAAGCCCAGAATGCAAGGGCCCAGTCATAAGTGTGACCTTGTGACCCTGGTAGTTCTGCCACTGGTTTCAGTGTTTTTTTATTTCTGTCGTTTTTTTTTTTACCTTTTTTATTTTTTTTTTTTTTTTTAACAATATTATTTTTTAATTATTTAGGAAAAGTTTTTTTAGGAGCACCGTTGGGGGGCTTTGGTAAAATATGTACCAATACCTCTGATGTACCAACTTTGAGACAAAGAAAGGAGATTGAGCCTTAATTCTCAACCTCTGCAGCCTCATCTGTCTGTAAAGAATGAATGGACAGGAATAGCTCTGTATAGAGAGCTTCCCGGTCTTTTAAACTGAAGCATAGTAAACAGTTTACTATGTATCAGTTTTTAGAATGAACAGAGTCAGTGATTGGTATGGAAACAGTTTACTATCCCTCAGTTATGAATGAAACAGTCAGTGATTGGTATGGATCACAGAGTCAGTGATTGGTATGGAAACAGTTTACTATCCCTCAGTTATGAAATGAAAGTCAGTGATTGGTATGGATCACAGAGTCAGTGATTGGTATGAAAACAGATTACTATCCCTCACTTATGAATGAACAGTCAGTGATTGGTATGGATCACAGAGTCAGTGATTGGTATGAAAACAGTTTACTATCCCTCAGTTATGAATGAACAGAGTCAGTGATTGGTATGGAAACAGTTTACTATCCCTCAGTTATGAATGAACAGAGTCAGTGATTGGTATGGAAACAGTTTACTATCCCTTAGTTATGAATGAGCAGAGTCAGTGATTGGTATGGATCACAGAGTCCGTGACTGGTATGGAAACAGTTTACTATCCCTCAGTTATGAATGAACAGAGTCAGTGATTGGTATGGATCACTGACTCTATTCATTCAGACAAGGAAGGGGTGGGTAAATTACACATTTACCATCTCCTTCCTTGCTCTCCATCCTGAAAGAATCCCCCGCAGCAGCCGGGGGTGAGGGGGGGGATCCAGAAGAGCTGTTGGGGACAAGGGGAGGCCAAGAAAAAGAACACAGAGGGGCCCTGGGAAAGAGCACGGGGGGCAGGAGAGCACACAGATGGGCAACAGAAGAAGCTGGATAGGACAAGCGGTAGGGGTGGCTGCATACAGAGGAACCGATCTCTCCATTTTCCTCTTGCAGCCGCTGAATGCCTATAGGAGGGAGAAGAGGAGAAGCGGGCATTAAGCGGCTGCAGGAGAAAAATGGAGAGAATTAGTTCCTCTGTATGCAGTCACTCCCACCACTCCTCCCATCCAGGTGTACAGGGGGACCGCACAGGCCCCCTGGAGCATAGGGCCGGGTCGCAATTGCAACCCCTGCATGTACGCCCCTGGGTCCTGCCCTTTTTTGCACCCCCCCTTTCTGATGAAGTGCCCCAGACAGTCGCCTCCTCTGTCTAACCCTCAGCCCAGCCCTGGAGTAACTACTGCCATATAGCCGAGTTCTCAGAGTATCAGCAGTCAAGGCCACCTTCTCCGGCTTCCCGGATGCTGAGTTTTCCAGTTATAAGGAAGGTTGGTTGAGATTTCTATATGTTGTTTACTGAACAATCAACTGAAGTGTATTCTTTACTCCAAGACTGACAATCTACTTTACCCATCTTTCTCCTGCTTCCTAAAAAGTTCTTGATAAACTACAGGCTCAGAAACGTTCATTTAAACAAATTCCTCAATAGTTACAAAGGAGATAAATCCAGGTTGTGCACACCAAATGCCTTTGCAAACACAGATATTATGTTGTAAAAGTAGCAGTGACATCGTATTTATTTATTATTATTTATTTCAGGTACTTATATAGTG